TTTATCCGTGACAGGGATTTAGTTTAGAGGAATGGATCACGACATTCCATAGAATCTGCAAGCCCTTCCCAACTGGAGTGTTCAGGGATTTATGTATCCATCTTCGCCCCGCACGTAATTGATTTAGGAGGCTCAAAGGAGGTTAGTCATTAGGCTAGTTTAAAACTTGGCAGTGTTAAGTGTTGAGGCAAAGAAAGCAAAGCAAAGTAGAGGCAGATTTAAGAGAGTGGCTTAATAGACCAAACATCAAGTCTTGACCAGACTACCTGAAATAAACGGCTCCTATTCAGGGTGGCGGGGAGCTATAATTCCTATGCTCAGAATTTGCAATGCGCGTGTGTGTGGGGGGGGAGAACCCCAAGGAAACCCACTTTCAAGGACAAGTGCCGAATGATCTACTTGTCCTGTGCCAGATTTCAAAGGTGGTTCATGAAAATGTCTTTTGGATAACCTGAAAGATGCAAAACTCTAAGGAAACATAAAGTTAACTTGTTAGATCAGCGTTTGATTCCCAGTTGTGGTTCATGCTGTGACTTATGAAATTGATAAGTCTGTGAAAAAGTAGTAGATAATTTGTAAATGGTTCATTGGATTTTGCAGCTTTCGTGTCCTTGTCTAACAAATCTTGAAGGAAGGGGTGTAGTGGGTCAGGTGTTGTCATCCAATCTGTCGTGGCTAAGACTACCTCTCTTACTTCTATATGTCTTGCCGACTGTTGTTAAGAGGGCTATTTGTGTGTTTTTGCTTGTTATTTGTCTTTTTTATTTTTGTCTGAAGGCCTCCTATATTGGCAAAACCAAATGCCATTTAAAAGCCAAAGCCTATGAACATCTTCAGTACCTAAAGCAAAATAAAATGAATTTACATAAGTCTTTATACATTGTTAAAGTACAATTGCTAAATATAACGACAATTAAACAAATAAAACACTAAACAGTAATCATGAGGAGAAACTACAGCAGGAAAACACAACAAAAGAGTAAAATATTAAAAAATGTATAATTTAAATGAAGACTGCATGTTGTTCAGTGTTGGAGAGTGCTGTTTGATGTGGATGGTTTCTTTAATCAATAATTCCAGGTCAATATTAGACTTACAAAGGATAGAAAAATTTGATAGCATAGCTCGATGTCCTATTTCTTCATTGTGTTGATGTATAGAGGAAACACAGGGGTTACTCAGTTTTTTTTCTTTGCGTTTTGATGGAAATTCCCACATTGCGAGTCGAACACTCTGTCTATCAGACCATGCCACGTCAAAATGCGAGTCGAACACTTTGTCATCAGACCATGCCACGTCAAAAATTAAAGGAGAAGTGCTATTGCCATGTTTGGAAAATTCTTACAATTATAAATGGAGCATTTATTGAGCTTAGATAAATGTTTCAATTGCATGTATGTTTGGCAAATAAATGTATTTCTATAAGAATATATGTACTTCTGTAAGATTATAAGAAAGACATATTACGTAGTTGTGATGTGTGTAATGGCAAAATAAAACTACCATGAAAAGGTTAGAATAAGTATGTTCTCGAAGTAAGAGAAAGATGTAGTACTTCCAGGAAATACGTGCTTAGAAACATTATGTACGGAAACCCGCAAGATGACACACCAACGGGATGTTCTGAATGCTAGAACTCCGTCCAGAACCGCTACTGTAACATTAGCAATCGATGTGTTCGAAGGAAAACGAAGTTTGATAATAAACAAGATTACGACACTTATGATATACAACATTGTTTATTAACAGAAAGGGGACATAGATAAACGTTTGGGAATTCTATCGGATTCCCCATGCCACGTCAAAATCTGATGGACAAAGTGTTCGACTCGCATTTTGACGTGGCATGGTCTGATAGACAGAGTGTTCGACTCGCATTTTGACGTGGCATGGTCTGATGGACAGAGTGTTCGACTCGCATTTTGACGTGGCATGGTCTGGTAGATAGAGTGTTCGACTTGCAATTTTGACGTGGCATGGTCTGGTGGATAAAGTGTTCGACTCGCATTTTGACGTGGCATGGTCTGACGGACAGAGTGTTCGACTTGCATTTTGACGTGGCATGGCCTGGCCTGGTGGACAGAATGTTCGACTTTTGACGTGGCATGGCCTGGCCTGGTGGATAGAATGTTCGACGCACAAAATGCAAACTAAATGTGTAGTTCTGTTAGTATTGATCACAAAGTTCCAAACAAATTATGGTCAGAGTTTATACTTCTCACCTTTTCTCACTGATTTTCTGTAGTTATTATATTGTTAGCAACTGAGTTAGAAACTCGACAAAACAAAATGAATAATACTATCGGTACTTTTCAGTATGGACCACAAAATTCCAAAGTAAATCTGTTGAGAATTTCTATTTCCAATCTCTTCACGCCTATTTCCTATCTTTATTTTACTGTTAGCGGCTGAAGTACAAACCTTTTGAAAATATAGCAATAAATCGCCACTCTAGGCATTAGACCTCTCTCGGCTTCGAAAACACACTTTATCGGCTTATTTGTAGTAATTGCAACAAGCATTGTCTAAAGTACTATATGAAAGTGAGAAAAATATTTGCACTATGGCTGTATACAAAGTCTGATCCAATAAACTTGTTAGGTATTTGATTGTTAGTTACTTTCCTGGATTTAGCAGTATAGGTGGAAAAGAGCTTATGAACATCCTGTTTCCTATTTAACCAAACTTACAAAGTAACCAACAAAAATGCTTAGTTTCCAGTAATATAAATACGGCCAGTTTTGGTTTAGCTAATATTTCTAACTTAGTCTTCTTGTTAATCACTTTAGAAGCCTTACAGAAAAGGGATATTACTATAGTTTATGCAGACAAGTTAATTCGTCGCAGCATACGGTTTTTAGAAGCAATGAAGGAACATAAGGATAAAAAGGCCTTAGAATCAGAAAATGCCATTAAGGAAATAAAGTTTTATTAATAACACTGACAGATAACAATAAGATTGTTTCAATCAATTATGGCCAATTTTTAACCAGTATCATTAACAATATGAAACAACGGTTATTCACACCAACTTCTTTTCATTAACCAAATGGGTCACAGCCAGGCACTTCTAATTTCATTCCAAACATAATTTCTGAGCATTGTACATTAGAAGTCAATGAGTGGTCAGCAGAGATAAATCCAGGCTTTGGAAAAAGACAAATAGAGTCCCTTTGCAAACGTTTCAGATGGCCATTTTCAAAAACAACCACAGCATACATAGACTTTCTAGACAACTGTGGGCGCTATATACCGTCAGATTTGAATCCTTTAATTGGGTGTTCAAAAGTCATCCCATGCAATTCTTCCGAATGTGAACGGGGTTTTAGAAGCATGAACCTTATCATTAGGGAAACGAGGACTAGGTTGTTAATCAGTCATGTGACAAGTTTCATGTTCATTAGATTCACTGCTCTCTGATTCAAAACTGGAAGCCAGACAACTATGGCTTAGGTGTCATCGTTCAACAACTTCAGGAACTCACTATGGACCAAGTTTGGAAGTTCTGTAAATAAGCTATCCAGGAATTCAAAAGTTCAAGTTGAGAGAAAATCAATATTTTATTGTAACATTTTCAAATGTGGATTATAAATTACAATTACAATTTACAGCTACTATTTCTGAAATATGTGTGTTTTTTTTTTTGTATTGGTGACGTAATAAATACTAATAGTAACACTTTCAAAACGCGTTCCCACACTTTTTTATTTAGCACTGCACCACTGATCATACCTAAACATTTATCGTTTCCAAGAGAACTAATGTTTCTCTAGATGTCGATCCATTCCAAACTTCTGTACTACAAGTGAATAACTTTACATTTCACTAGGTCTTTTATTGTAAGAGAAGCGTTCTCAACATAATCATTTTTTTGGCACTTTAGTATTATGGATGAATTTAGAAATATTGCTCTCGAATAAGTTTCTAACATAAATAATGAATAACAATGGTTCTAAAACAGACCTCTCAGAGACCCCACTATTCACATTCTCCAAGTCAGAAAAATGCCCTTTTATCATCACAGTTTACTATCTACAGCTAAGACAGTATTCTGTGTATTTATTAACTTTCCACCAATCTCATAACCTGATACATTTAATTTACAAATCAATCTCTTTTGAAGCACCTTATCAAAGGATTTTTTGAATGTCAAAGCACCCAATATCAACCAGTATGCCCTTTTCCGAGAGCTTATAAAAAATTTTGATAATGCAAAAAAACTTTTTTTAAAATCGTTTGGAATCATTAATTGAAAGTAAACTTTTCGTAAGCTTTTCTAAATGATTTTTAAGAACAGATTCTAGCAGTCAAACTAACATGTATAATTAAATCCACTAAAACTTGTCTTTGTATAATACGGATTACACAGATAGTCTTCCAATTATCAGGATTTTCTTGGTATGAACAGGTGAAGAACAGAAATTAAAATCCCCATTGACTCTTTGCTAACTTTGTTCTTATGTTAAAGGAAACAAAATGTGCACATACAGAATTTTCAATAACGTTTCAGGTATGAAGGTATAAAGAGTAAGAATGTAATTCTTTTTAAGTTTTTGAACTACAAATTACATTCACATTGTTTGAATTCGTAGCTTCCTTGGATTGATAATGAAGATTTGATAGGTTATATGTGATTCTAAAACTTGCTTTACATGTTCACGTGTTGAAGCTTTTTGGACATGTACTTGTAATCTCTATACATACAGAAACGTAAATGGAAAATTAATGTGTACTGATTACAGTTAGTATATGTAACACTTGTGTATATTAAATGTCATAGTAAAGTTACATGGGCCACAACAGCCCAATTTCCCATGACGTTTGATATTGTGTCGAGATGCTAGTACACCATGTTTCATTCTGCTGTTGGCGTATCTCCAAGCCCACGAACAGATTTATAACAAAAGCGATCAATACCGATCCGGGTATTAAAAATTATAAGTTCGACTCTGCCTTTAGGTCAGAACACAGTCATTGCCCATGCGCTGTAACGATCTTAGATGCCGCTTACTGCAGGTTGTTCAATAAACCGACCATCCATCCGATTGATCTCAAGTAACATTGTGGAAATCTATCAGAATATTAGACGTTTGCTGGAAAGAAGCTTTCCCAGAAGGTGCGATTTTCATTGTTAAACAGTGGAAGTCATCTGTCTTCATTACTACGTTTCATCCAACCGAATAAAACATGCGTAAAGGGGAAATCAGTGTTATAAAACACACGTGTTGTGTTGTTGCAGTTCTGTTCATGGCAGTCCATGGAGGTAAGACAGGTCTTGTGTTAGAAGTACTGATTCTGCATTGTAATACTGTTGCCTATATCCATTAGACAAGACAAAACTTCTTAAATCTTTTTTATCTTCGTCTATAACCAGATGATGGTTTTATGCTATATTTTAACAACGCATAATCTTTGATCTAAATGATTTATTTTTCAGAATGTTTACTAGCTATATATATATATATAAGGCCGACATTAACCTGTAGCGTGACTTATGTTTATCTGTATCAGAAATATGCACGTGTCTATAGAGTGTGGTTGGTTGGCTTCAATTTTACTTCTTTTTGAAGGAAGTACTGAAAGGTTTATAATATATTACACTTCCATTTCTGTAATATATTTAAACCTTTCAAACATCTTCTAAACATTCTGTTATTTTATATTTTTCTTATCTGTTTTTCTTCATGAAATATTTGATTTTGCATCGGTTGCTCTAAACTAATCTATTTATTTTTCTGATTTTTTAAAGTTATTTTTTAATTTATTATCAGTTGGTTCTTTTCAAGTTTGACAACTTCATACATAGCTTACCATGTAAATACTATTTTCTTTCTTACGTGGAAGTTGTATGCATATATGTATAAAGTAAAATAGTTAAACTTGGTTATCAAAAATATCGTAAATACAGAACTATCAACACACTCGTGCACAAATGGAATCTGACAAAAAAGCTTATCTAAAACGGAAAAACAACACCATATTTGTGAAACTGGTAACCACTTTCACTGAAATGGAATAAAAATCAAAAAATGAATTTAATCACTTATCAAGCACTAGAAGCCCCCCATTAGCACAGCGGTATGTCTGCGGACTAACAACGCTAGAATCCGGGTTTCGATACCCGTGGTGGGCAGAGCACAGATAGCCCATTGTGTAGCTTTGTGCTTAACTTAAAAAACAAAAACAAACAAAAGCACTAGAAATGAAGTTATCGCTTATGTGTGTGTGTGTTTGGCTTCAAACTTTATCTCTTAAATAAAATCATAATATGTTTCGAATTTTAGTAATGTGTGCAAATGTCATCTGTATTACGAATTTTTGATTTTAAGTACTTAAGGTGAATTTTTGTCTCGTTAGAAGGATAGATAAAATATTTTATATTCAGTAACAAC